AAGGCATTTTAGCCCTGAATTCTGTGGATCTCTACAATTCTTCAGATCCATATCTTTTGCTGAGTGTTTTGTTGTTGTTTTGAAGGCGGCTGGGTAGGGAGTTGTTAAATGTTTGGTTTGTGTGCAGATCGAATGCACCTTAGCAGCAGTCTTTTGATTATAAAGATCCGTTTATATTCCAGTTATCTGTGTGTGAAAACACCCTAGATTCATTCTCTTGAATCCCTCCCCCAGCCCTGTAGTTTTGCCATGGATAAGTAATTTAACGACTACCAAATAATGTATAGAGCACAGTAGCAAAGCTTTTTAGGATTACTATGATAAGAAGCTTGCCAACATTTCCATTAAAAACATCTCTTTCAAGACTTTTTAATTATGTAGTAAAATTTCCCTTCAGATTGAAACATGACCTTTCAGGCTTATTTAAGAACTAATGGGGGTAATATTAAACTCAACAGCTCTCTCCTGAGTTTTACATTATGAAACTCACTTGGGTCTCCTAGAAAATGAAAAATGGTACTCTTCAGTCTGGCTTTATGTGTTCCTTTTATCTTAGTAATCCTAATTGTAGATTATGTGACCTGGGGCCGAACCAGAGCTGGAATGAAAGTACTGAGCAGGTCATAATTTGACTGTTGATTGAAAACATTTTTCTTCTTAAAACTTAAAAAAAAATCCACACATTTTCATTGGGATTTATCTACCCTGCATAGATAAATTCATCCACTTTACTGTATTTATAGTACTTTCATGTTAAGCTTAGTATTAAAATATAAAGAAACAGTCATCACTTTTGGCAAAGCTGAATTTCTTCTTACACCTTTAAAAAAAATCTTCACTTAGTAGCAAGTATCTAATCTTGAATATGAGTCTCGGTTTCTGGAATATATTATTCATGTTATCTTTTAAAGTATTTCTTTGGAATCTGTCAGTACGACGTTTGGGGGTTTCAGCAGATGATTTATTTTAGAATAAAAACTCTAGAGCAACAGTATCTCTGCATTCTCATTCCAGAAAATGAAACTGTGGGGCATACGTGATTTCCTTAATAATTCATGAAGACGGAACATGGCTGCTATAGCAGCATCTCCTGAGTTACCTCATAATAAAACTAGGAATCCTTAGCAATCAGAGTCATTCTAAATCTTTACCTCAGACATGCAGCGTGCATGGTGTGGTTGAAAGAGCCCAGGATTCAGGACCTGGGTTTGCCAGACACACCTCCAACATTTGCTATGGAACTACATGATCAAGTCACTTTATCTCATCTGTAAAATGGGGATGATACTTTCAGGACCTACTTCAAAGGATTATTGTGAGGAAATCACTTGGTAAATCTCACAGCACTATATGAATGTGAGTTTTCAGCAGCAGCAGCCCTTGTGCTACTTAATTATGATGTTTAGAGCCAAGGTGGGGAGGGCTGCTTTTAGCCTGAGGCAATAGACTTTTAGTGAATGGGCTCTCTTAGAATAAAAAGATAGCGTTCTCCCTTGACATGGAGTCCATATACTATTGAAAACTTTGGCAAGGCTAATTTAGGAGCAGGAACCAAGATTTCCCAATTTTAGAGTGTGTGTGGAGGGTTTTTGTTTTGGGGGGTTTTTTCCCCCCACTTTATTATTTATTTATTTATTTTGGCTAGTCAATGGGGTTAAGTGACTTGCCCAGGGTCACACAGCTAGTAAGTGTCTAAGGCCGGTTTTGAACTCGGGTCCTACTTACTCTCAGGCTGGTGCTCTATCCACTGCGCCACCTAGCTGCCCCCACTTTATTATTTTGATTTGATTTTCTTTTCCTTTATTTTGGTTTTGTTGTTGTTCAGTCCAATCGAAACCCCTTTGGGGGTTTGGATTAGTTTTCTAAAAATTCATAATACAGTAAACATTGTAAGGCATTTTGAATAACTGATTTTGAATTTCCATAATTTGATTACCAGAGTATGAAATAATATTTATGTTAATGAAGCTCCATACACTTAAACTTTTGTTAATTGTCATAGCAAATATTTTCATTAAACACATTTAAGAAAAGAGCCGTCGACCATTTGTTCTGGTAGCAAACTTGGTATGAAATTCCATTTTTGACACTTGAGAAATTATATAAAGTTCTGCTTTCTCATCAGTTTTTTTTATTTCATATGAGATGAAAACATCTCTTATGTTTTCTTATCTGTAAGATGGGTATGTTAAAATAATGATAATCACTAGGGCAGCTAGGTGGAGCAGTGGATAGAACTTTGGCCTTGGAGTTAGGAGGACCTGAGTTCAAATGTGACCTCAGACACTTGATACTTACTAGCTTTGTGACCCTGGGCAAGTCACTTAACCCTGATTGCCTCAGCAAAAAAGGAGAAAAAAAGATAATCAGGCACACTCTCACTCACTCTCTGTCTCTGTCTCTCTCCCTCCCCTCCCCCCAGGCAGTGTGCTAAGTGCTTTATACTTAATATCTCATTTGATCCTCACAATACCCCTAGGAAGTGGGTGCTATGATGAGCCCCATTTTACAAATGGGGGAACTGAGGCAATCAGAGGTTGAGTGTTCACCAGGATCCCATGACCAGTAAGTGTAAGTGAGGCCGGATTTGAACACAAGTCTTCCTGACTCCAGGCCCAGTGCTCCGTTCACTGTGCTTTCTAGCTGCTCCTGCTAGAATCATAGAATTTTAGATTGGGAAAAAGCTTTATGGATCATCAGCTGTGCAAGGTGAGACTGTTCTTATGGAAAGGCAGTAATAATGTTTGTCAGGCCTGTCAACTTGAGAACATTAAGAAAGAAATGGTAACTATAAAGCATATATGTTTTGGGGAAACACACCCATACCAGTAAAGAATGAACACATTGAAAACGACCTCTGGACTGAGCCCTGTGCTGGGTCAGACCAGTGATCCATCCCAGCCCCAACCAGGGCTTTGTGGAAACCAGATGGTTTCTAGAAGGGTGCGGCTGCCTCCGTGATGCCGTAATAGTTGCACATCCTACTGTTTTAGAGCAGGAAGGAGCCATATAGACTCGTTAGGATAGCGTAGTGGAAACTGGAATTCCTGGGTCTTTCCAGTTCATTGCAATCTTGACTATACCACCGAAAAGGTTCGAGTCTTTGATAGCCCTTTGACAACTTTGTCATTCTACGTATTTGTTTTGTGCCACTTTATATAATTATACTACAGATCTATATCAATAATAACCACAATAGCTACCATTTTTGTAACTCTGTACAAAGATTGTCTCATTTGATCCTAGCAACAAACCTGGGAGGTGGGTGCTATTATTATTCTAATTTTACCAATGAGGAAACCAAGGCAGAGAGCTTAAGTGACTTAGGGAGGGTCACACAGCAAGTCAGTGTCTTCCTGACTCCAGGTTGAACGCTTTTTCCCCTGTACTGCCACACTATCTGCTTGAATGTTAGCTCCTTGTAGGCAGGAACTGGTTTGTTGTTGTTTTACTTTGTTTTTGGCTTTCTATATCTAATCCTTAGTGCAGAACCTCGCACATAGTTTGAATAGAAAAAATTGATCACATGCCCTGGGAGTATCTTTGATGGCAAAGCAGCATTTCTTTCTTTTTCTTTTTTTTTTTTTTGGTAAGGCAATCAAGGTTAAGTGATTTGCCCAGGGTCACACAGCTAGTGTCAAGTGTCTGAGGCTGGATTTGAACTCAGGTCTGCTGACTCAGGGCTGGTGCTGTATCCACTGCACTACCTAGCTGCCCCAAAGCAGCATTTCTTGAGCCCCCAACAACAAAAGAATAGACTTCCATCGAAAACTTCAGGGAAGTTTTGAGCTCATGACGTTCCCAACCCCCATTCCAAAAGGCTGAAGTTTAACTACAATGAGAAACACAGCAGTGACCAGAGAAGTCAAGTTGGGGAAGGGCCTTTTAGGAACAAGAAGAATTTCATGGAGTAGAACCTTAGAAGTGGTCTAGGTCATTGTTGTCAAACTCAAGGAGAGATGGGGGCCACTAACCCCTGCCTAAGGATCCCTGTGGGCTGCGTAATGACTTAGGTTTTTCAAATTATTTATTTATTTTTATTTAGTATTTTATTTTTCCACAGTTGCATGTAAAAAACAATTTTTAACATTTGTTTTTAAAACATTGAGTTCTAGATTTTTCTATTCCTCCCTTCCCCCACTGAGAAGGCAAGCAGTTTGATACAGGTTATACATGTATAATCATGCAAAACATATTTCCATGTTAGTCATGTTATAAAAGAAAACAGAACAAAATAAAAACCTAAGAAAAATAAAGTAGAAAAAGTATGCTTCAGTCTGTATTCAGACACCATCAGTTCTTTCTCTGGGGATGGATAGCATTTTTAAGGCTAAGTCCTTCAGAGTTGTCATGGATCATTGTATTGCTGAGGATAGCCAAGTCATTCGCTTGACTTAGTTTTAAAATTTATTATATTTTTATTTATTTTGTTAAATATTTCCAAGTTACATTTTTATCTGGTTTAGGCACATGTTTGACATTTCTGATGTAGGCCAACCTCTTCATTTAAACATGAGGAATCTGAGACCCAAAGAGGTAAGAAGAGGCAAAGCCGGTTAGAATGATGAAGCTTGCCTCAAGGAAGAGATGTGGAGGGCACTTCTCCCCCATTTCTTTGCAGAGGTGGGGACTGTGATTATGGAACATTGTGTGTGTGTGTGTGTGTGTGTGTGTGTGTGTGTGTGTGTGAGTTTTTGCTAAACTGTTCCGGTGTTTTATTCATTGTTATAAGGGATGGCTTTCTGGGAGAGGGTAGGGAGAAGGATACTTTGGAAAATGAAGTCATGTAAAAACAAAATATATCAACAAAAATTTATTTTTTTAAGAGGAAAAAAGCCAAGATTCTAGCAGCCCTTTTACTCCCAAACTAATGCCCTCCCAACTGTAACATGTTGTAGTATCTCTTTGAAGCAGGAGACTGTAAATACAAATTGTATGATATTCTTATAAATTTTACTTAGCTACAAATATTCCTGTGTAACTTTTGTTTTTCTTTGCAGAGGTCTTGTCAGCTATTATTAGTGTTCTCTTGGTTTATATACTTATGGGATTCCTTTTGTATGAAGCCGTGCAAAGAACCATCCATATGAACTATGAAATTAATGGAGATATAATGCTCATAACCGCAGCCATTGGAGTTGCAGTTAACATAATGTAAGCTCTATTTACTGTTTTTCTCTGTTCAATATTTTAAATACTACATATCTTAAAATTTAGAAATGCACAGTATCTGAATTTTTATTTTTTCCTAAATTGCTCATTGCATATTAAGTGCTAATTTTTCTAAAAAATGATAAACCACTACAGAATCTCAGTTTCTCTCTAGTGTTGATTCAAGCGTAAACATATTTGACTAAAACAAGACAGTCAGGAGACTGGCCTTGGAGATGGTAATGAGACTAAGTTTTCCCACTGAAAGTACAATAAACAGCAATGTCAGAGCAAAAGTGGTAATGTGTGCAAAAACTTAATTTTGAATAGATCCCACCTTCTGAAAGCTGTTTTTAACCAACTACTATCACTATGTATTTTTTCAACCAAACATGGAACACTTACATGTTTTTTCTGGCTAGAAATAACCTATGGAGGTTTGTAAATCCCAGTGTGCCTAATAATTAGTACGTTCTTAGATGGTTAGAGAATTTGCCAAATTGCTTACTGTCACCCTATGCCCATCCACTTTTTCTTCTTCTTACATTTCTCCTACCTCTGTCTTCTCGCTAACCTTTTCCCTTCCACCCCGTTCTTTTCGTTTGTCCTCTACCTCCCTACCTGTTTTCCTATTTTTTCCTCGTACTCCTGTATACATCTCACCTATTAGATGTACTGTGGTGGCCTCATGCCCCTCCATATGTGTTGCAGAATGTCTCATCACCATTCTTTTAAGGTGGCTGCCTTAACACAGGGGCAGGAGTGACAGTAGATGTCCTCCTCCCCTGTTTTCCGTCCCTAAATACGATACAAGGGAGTTGGCTTTGACCCTGGCTCCAGACCACAACCACCCTCAATTCCTGAAGAGCTAGGAGGCAGACTTTGTAACAGAGGCTTCAACAGGATTCAGACCTGGCAAGACCTGGCTCTTCTTTCAACCTCCGCTGTCCTCAGAAATTCAGATTTCCATCTGAAATGGCTGTGAGGAAGCAGACGTTGAAAATAGCAATGCTGGATCCCACACCCAGGCTTGTTGGTGGGGAATGTGAACCCTGCTCTTCTACCACCACTTCCCGGGGGCGCTGGGAGGCAGTTTCAGGCTCTCTTTTGAGGGTGATATGTAGAAGGCTGCTGTAAGAAAAAGAATTCTTAGTTGAAATATGTAAACTCACCTTTTTTTGGGGGGGGAGTCATTGTCTCAAGGTACCATAGGCATTAATGTTACATTGTTGTTTTTTTGTGTCCCCTTAACTAGTAACTGGTAATAAAAGTTTGCCCTTTTTTTCTCTTTGGAAAAATAATGATATTTTCTTTTTTTTAAAAAAACAGAATGGGATTTCTGTTGAATCAGTCTGGTCACCATCACTCCCATTCCCACTCCCCTCCGCCAAACTCTCCTACCACAGGTCCTGGGCATGGGCATGGGCATAACCAAGGAAGTGGCAGCCTTGCAGTGAGGGCAGCATTTGTGCATGCCCTGGGAGACTTGGTGCAGAGTATCGGGGTGTTGGTAGCTGCCTACATCATTCGATTCAAGGTAACCTGGGGGCTTATTTTTACATTGAGAAATTGCTTGAATTTTCACATCAGTGTTAAAATATATGCTCCTTTGCCATAAGTATAGTATTAAAAGTTCTGCAAATCTGAATAGAGATAAACATTTTCCACCCCACAGGGGTATACATTTTTCAGTGCTGCCAAATGAGATTGGAAGATTAGATTTTAATTGTTAAAGGACTTTTGAGCTTAGAAAAAGTATGTCTATGAACACGGTAATTCACTTGAGAAGGAAGAGCAGTGTGGGTGACTGTGGCACCAAAACCAGTCATGTTCCATATCAAGTGAGATATGGAACACGTAAGACCTGATGCTCAGGTTTAATCGTATCACTCCATGCCCTTCAGTGGTTTCCCCCATTGCTACCATCTGAAACACAAATTCCTTAGCCTAGCATTTAAAGTTTTTACTATTTGTTCCAGCTACTTTTTGGTCCTTTTTTCTTAGTGTAGACATACACTCTACATAAAGATTTCTCAAGCAATGCAGTTCCCTAATAATGCTGTCAGTGTATTATTACGAAACCCTCAATGTAAAGTCGTTAAACCCTTATGTTCTATTGTTTGTCCTATTGTCCCTGAAAATATTGTTTTTATGGAATTAAGCCTGTAATAGTATTTTGCCTAACATCATTTTCTAGGAACCATTTAACGCTGACAAATGGATTATACCTGTATTCCCCTTCACACACGCTCCATCCCAGAGATCCTAAGCTATTTGCCAATTTTCCAGTCACCATAGATACTTCCTCTTATACCTCCATGTTTTTGCCCATAACACAAAGGCTTGGATTTAGTTACTGCCAATTCCTCTCATGTTTAGAAGACGATGAAGAAAATATTACAGAACTTGAGTTGATTTGGGGGAGGAGAAATGGGGGGGTCCAGACCAGTGATTTCATTGGAAGTGAGAGCTCTCTGAAAAATTACTTCTACTAATACTGAATGACAACTATTGTTTTATTTTATTTTATTTTATTATGCTTCTTTGGTGAGGCAATTGGGGTTAAGTGACTTGCCCAGAGTCACACAGCTAGTGAGTGTTATGTGTCCAAAGTCGGATTTGAACTCAAGTCCTCCTGATTCCAAGGTTGGAACTCTATCCACTGCACCACCTAGCTGCCCTAACAACTATTCTTTAATTTATAATCTTACAGAACTGATGCAAGCATGGAGTCATAAAATGAGTTGCCCAAGATCATGTGGTATCTGTTAAAGACAGGACTTTAATTCAGGGCTGCGTACTCTCTCTTTCTCTGTCTCTCTGTCTCTCTGTCTCTCTCTGTCTCAGTATTTAAGTTGGTAAAGGTGAAATATATGGGGGTGTGGAGGGGCAATTAGGGTTAAGCACCTTGCCCAGGGTCACATAGCTACCAAATGTCTGAGGTCGGATTTGAACTCAGCTCCTCCTGACTCCAGGGCTGGTGCTGTATCCACTGTGCCACCTAGCTGCCCAGTATGTGACTTATGGTGAACAACTGCTTTCTGATACTATTATAGGAAGCCAACGATCATGAACTTAAATTTCATCAGAGAAGCTTTTAATTTTATCATTGTTGTGAGATTCTGAAACATGTTACCAAGGGAAGAACAGATGATAGCCTTATTTGGAGATGTGTCTTGAGTAAATTTTATTACCATGTAAACATCTGATTTTTTTTCCTAGAGTAGTTTGAATGCTGCATTACTTAAGGTATTGGCTCTGAGTGACCTTGAATTCCTTTCCATTTTGTGTATTTTTGTTTTCTCATAGCATTATGTTGATTTACAGAGAAAAGTAAAAAAGTATTTTTTTCTTTAAAAAGGCATCTCCACATTTTTTAATAAACCTTGATGTTCCTTTTCAGCCAGAATACAAGATTGCTGATCCCATCTGTACTTACATATTCTCATTGCTTGTGGCTTTTACAACATTTCGAATCATTTGGGACACAGTAGTTATTATATTGGAAGGTAAGATCAGTGTTGTTAAACTCCCATTTGTGTGTTGTCATCTGATTCCTGCTGGGGCACTTCTCAAGGACAGGGGCTCTGACATCCTTTCTTTGAGGATGCTTAGGGCATTATAGTTTCAAAAGAGATGATTCAGAACCTTTTGGACATCTGGGGAGAAAGGTACTGTACAAATACCAATACAGCCAAATCTTAAGTTACCCATAGTAACATGGTATCCATAGTTGGAAAATCTTGGCAAAATCCTCACATTGTTCCCAAAAACTATATTTTGGTAAGCGTTTTCACTGATCTTTTCTGTCCTTTGTCCCTCACTGTGAGAGAGAAGCCAGTATCGGAGAACCTATATTCTAACGCTACCTTGTGTATGATGTCCTCTACTAAAGCCCCCTTCTGATGCCTCATCCTGGCATGGATGTATTTCCTGAATTTTCAAAGGATATGACAGCAGGCAAGAGCTCCAATGGGTCCTTCTAACTGAAGAGCTTTCAGTTAAAGGCCCATTAACAGACTATCACCTGAGTACCATCATAGCTAACTTTGGAGCAGCTTTTCACCAGGCTTGACTGTAGGTGATGAACTTACCAGCTGTCGCAGCTCTCCATGACCTGCTATAAAGCCATAGAGGGCAGGCAGTATGATACAACAATGTTCAGTTGTTTTTCAATCGTGTCCAACTCTTCATGACTCCATTTGGGGTTTTCTTGGCAGAAATACTGGAGTGGTTTGCCATTTCCTTCTCCAGCTTATTTTACAGAAGAGGAAACTTGAGGCAAACAGGGTTAAATGATTTTCCCAGAGTCACACAACTAGTAAGTGTCTGAGACTAGATTAGGACTCGAGAAGATGAGTCTTCCTGACTTCAGGCCCAGTACTTTATCCGCTGAGCCACCTAGCTGCCCCTGATACAACAGAGACCACAGGTTTTGAAGACATCCTCTGACAAACAGTTGGTACCTATGTGATCTCAGGCAAGTCTGTTAACCTCTGTATTTCTCAAGTTTCCTCATCTGTAAATCAAGGGATAGCTTCAGAGGTCCCTTTAGACTCTAGATCCAATAAGCATAACCTTCTGGGTTGCCATCTGGGTGAGGGAGGCAGTAAAAACACCAGTGAAATCCCAGATTATTATTTTGTTGGTCATGGTAACTTCATTTTAACAGGCTTAACAAGGTAAGAAGTTACCCATTCTGAATAATTTCAGTAGACTAATTAATATTGTGAAAGACATGACGACATCCATGTTTTAAATGCACTGTAAATATTGTATCTTTGAATCTGGAAACTTTGCTGAAGGATCTTCACATCATTTCTGAATGAAATAATTGTGCATATAACATAAGCCAGAGGAATATAGACAAAGAACCCCTTAGCAAATTTAATTTGCTTCCCAAAAGTTTTAAGAATCTGTGGCAAGTGCCAAGATATATCCAACCCACTCATAACGCTTCAAGGTTGAAAAGAAATAATGAAAGGCATTTTATTTAGAGATAATTTAGAAACCTTCTCTGGCAAGTGAGGGGGAGAAAGATTATAGAGCTACATTTATTAAAGCTTAAGCAGAAGCCAAAAAGCTGAAATTGCCATAGGTGAAAGAAATACATGCAGACCAGAGCTTGGTTGTGGCAGATTAGCTCTAACATACTAACCCAAAGAAAATGGAAGATGATGGTAAATAATAACTAGCATTTATATAACACTGTAAGATTTGTGAAGTACTCTGATATCTCATTTCATTCTCACAGAAACCCTGGGTGGTAGATGCTATTATCCCCATTTTATAGTTCAGGAAGCTGCAGCTGAGAAATGTTAAGTGACTTTCCCAGGGTCACACAGCTAAGTAAGTGTCCGAGGTCTTCCTGACTTCTATGTCCAGTACTTTTACCATGCCACCAGATTCTACAAATTCCCCATTGGCTGTTGAAAGTTCAGACTTCTCTATGTGGCATCAAACAATAAGCACTTAGAAAGTACACGGTCTGGACCAAGACCTCTACTAGGCTTTGAAAGTGAAACATCCCTGCCCTCAAGGAGTTTACATTCTAATTATGGAGACAGCAGACACATTTTGGGGCATATCTGGAACACATGGACAGTAGGTGCAAAGTGACCTTGCAAGAGGGACCTTGAGGAGGGACAGGAGGCAGCATGTGCTAGGCATATCCAGTGACCTCTATCACCATGTCTCTTCAGACCCTGATGATGAGAGACAGCCTAGAACCCTGAACCAAAGAGCCCTGGAATAGTGACCTTCAAGAAAAGGCATTTCTGTCTCCTTTGTCACTATACCCCAAGAACCATGGAGCTTTTCCATCTGACTTGCAGCTGAAGTCTTCCATATATGTTGTCTCCCCCATTAGAATGTGAGCTTCTTGAGGGCAGGGACTGACCTTACTCTTTGTATTCCCAGCACTTAGCACAGTGCTTTGAATGTCAGTAAGTACTTAATCTGTTCATTCATTCTGGGAGGCTCCAGCAGCTAGAAGAATGAGCAAAGGCTTCCTGAAAGTGGTACATGATTCTGGTTTTGAAGGAAATCAGGGATTCCAAGAAGAGAGGAGGAAGGGAGCATATCTAAGGCATTGGGACAGCCAGTCGCAAAGGCATAACAATGAGAGATTGAATGTCATGTGAGGAACAGCCAGGTAACTAGTATTGGTTGTGCTATAGAATGCATGGAAGAGCTTCACATATCCAACAAAAGGGTTTATATTCAATAAACTGATAAGTAATAGTTTGCTGCTGGGTCTTAGTAAGAGGGTTAACATGATCAGGCCCACTCTTTAGGAAAATCATTTTGATAGCTGTGTAGAGGGTAGATTGGAGTTGGGAGGGGAACCTACTGGTTTAGGAAGCAATTGCAGTAGTCCAGGCAGGAGGTGATGAGTACTTAAAGTAGGGCAGTTACTCTATGAGAAGAGAGGCAGATCCAAGAAACATTGAGCAGACAGAAATAGACAAGATTTGGCAGCTGTGATTGGATCTGTGGGCTCAGTAAAGAGTTAAAGACGACACCAAGCTTGCAAACCTGAGTGACTGGAGGAATTTTGGTGCATTTGATAGCAGTAGAGAAATTCAGAAGGGAAGGAGGGATTTGGGGAAAAAAGTTTTGGACATGTAAAGATGCCACTAGGACGTTCCTTTGGGCAGTTGGTAATGTGAGGCTAGAGTCTCCTTAGATATGGAAGTCACGTACATAGCCCCATGGGGGCTGATGAAGGCACTAAGATAGAGGCAACAGAGAAAGAAAGTAAGAGGGCCCAGAACAGAGCCTTCAGGTATACCCAGTTAATGAGCATGACATGGATAATGATCCAGCAAAGGAGACTTAAGAAGGAACAGTCAGACAGGTAGAAGGAAAACCAAGAGAACAGCATCATGAAAACCCAGAGTAGGGAGAGACTATCCAGAAGAGGACAGTCAGTATTGCCAGATGCTGCAGAGAAGTCCAAAAGGATGAGGATTGAGAAAAGGCCATTAGTTTGGTAATTGAGATCATTGGTAACTTTGGAGAGAGCAGTTTTAGCCGAGTGATGGAGTCTGAAGCCACATTACAGAGGGTTTAGCCAAGAGGAAGAGGACAGAAAGTGGAGGCAGTGAGTGTTGTTGACATTCAAAAATCTTCCATGATCTAGTGACACTGATACAACTTCATTTCATACTACTCCATTTAGCCAAAATGAATTAGGGCTACTCCCTGTCCCCATACACCAAGGGTTCTCACTCAAATGTCACCTCTTCCACAAAGCCTTCCTTGATTTCCTCTCTGCCCCAAGCCCCAATTGGCAATGACCCTTTCCTGCTTGATCCTCACATAACACTTCATTTACATATTTCTCATACACTTAAATGTATTGGTTTGTATGAGAGTTGTTTATGTCATATCTCCCCCTACTAGACCATAAGACAAACACGAGAGCAGAAACTGTATCTTATCTCAACTTTGTATGCTTCTAGCACTTAGCAGAATGTCAGGCACACAGGCACTTAATAAATATTTGAATTACTGTGTGTTAGGTTTAATGGTAAATGGTATGCGTAAATGTAAGCTTACAGTATAAAACCTAGGACAGTTTTTAAAACATTAACTTGTCTTGGAGCTTTCTTTGTGATTTGTCCTGTTACTGCTTCTTAGATTTCTTTCAAACCAAGCCTGTCTCTACTAATTTTATAGCAAACTGTATTCAGTTATTCCCTTTGTTACTTTGGGTGGCTTTCAAATGCTGCCCATGTTTTATCAAAGCCAGTCACTGTCAGTTTTAATTCTTGCATAGTATCTTTGTATTTTCTTCCCGATAATCTTTCTTGGTCTTTTAGTAGTTTTCTGTGGGCTGGGAACTTTTTATTTGAAGACAGGTTTGTAGTTTCGTTGTATTTATTACATCCTTGCTTTATTGCCAGAAAAATAAATTTAAGCATTCTTGTAACTTTTTAGAGTGTGTATGCGCGTGTGTGCGCGTGCGCGTGCATGTGTGTGTGTGTGTGTGTGAGAGAGAGAGAGAGAGATCTAGTGTTGCTAGGGCCATTTTTTTTTCCTCACAAGCTAACGTCTTATAAAACATTCTGAACTTGTAGGGGTGCCAAGTCATTTAAATGTAGATTATATCAAAGAAGCTTTGCTGAAAATAGAAGATGTTCACTCAGTAGAAGATATAAATCTTTGGTCTCTCACTTCAGGAAAAACAGCTGCCATTGTCCACTTACAGTTAGGTAAGTTGCTCTCATGATATGACGGGAGGTTTGTGATCCTTTGTGTCACTATAGTTGGAGAGCAGATGAGTCTGTCAATCAGCTGGCATTTATTAAGTGCCTACTATGTACTGGGGAGAAAAAGGCAAAAGACTGACCCAGCTCTTAAAGAGCTCACGGACTAACAGAGGAGGTAACGCCCAAACAATGATGGACACATTTGAGGAAGTGAGTTGGGGAGTGAGGCTTCAGGCAGATGGTCAGGTTGAATCAGTGTTTAGTTTGTAATATAACACTTTTGGTGCAGGCCAGTGTACCAAAAAATGTTACTGTTTTAAATCTGAAGATGAAAACACATTTTGGATATGTTTGCCCTGATTTTCTATATCATCAAAGCTAATGTTCTCAGCTTTAGGTTTTCAAATAATGGCTATAGATTGAGACTAGATATAGATTAGGAAAGAAGGGGGAGATCAGTGAGGAAACATGCTGCCTCCCTCCTGACAATGAGGTAATGAAGTCAAGACTGAGACATTTTCAGTTATAACTATTATTTCTCTTTCTCTCATTCTCTTTCTTTCTCTCTCCCTTCTTCCTTCCTTCCTTCTTTCCTTTTCTTTATTTCTTCCTTTTTTTTTTTTGATTAACTATTCATGTTTGATTGAAGGGTTTTGTTTTTCTTTTAAATCTCAGAATGGGGATAGTGATAGGGATTACCAAAATGGGGAAGGGAGGGTTTAAAAAAAAGCGTCATGGAAATATTTATTTAAATACACAAAAGAAGAGCAGAAGGAATGTCACTAAAAAACAATCAGGATAGCTTTCAAAGTATTGTTGAAACATATTGAATTTGTTGTATATTTGAAGGAGAGAAGCTTGCTTTAGGTGATACAGGTTCGCAATTGCATATACCATCCTTTTTCTGACCTGCCTTGCATGCGGAAATGCTTAGATTTAAAATTTTTTGGCATTAGATTCAAAATTTTTTAAAAAAAGTTTAATTGGGGGGAACCACCTAGATCCTCAAATTGAGCGGTTTTTTGGGGGTTTTTTTTGGTGTAATTTTGCCACTTCAGTACATTATGCACTGGCAGGAAGAATACTCATACCGATGAGATCTGAAATCTAATTTAGTATGACATGAAGTTGTAATGATAAGGTGATGCTAGATCTCTGACTGTTTGAATACAATCTCCTTTCTAGATTGATTTAAAAACCAGATGCATTCTAATTTTAATTTTTAGGCAATTGGGGTTAAGTGACTTGCCCAGGGTCACACAGCTAGTAAGTGTGAAGTGTTTGGTCTGAGGCTGAATTTGAACTTGGGTCCTCCTGACTTCAGGGCCAGTGCTCTATCCACTGTGCCATCTAGCTGCCCCGCATTCTGTATTTTTTAAATGTAGATAATCTACAGTGATATAACTGATCAGCTACTTTGAGCATTAAACGGTCTTAGGGATGTGGATTCATGCCGTACAATGAGCTTGACTGTGCTTGAGAGGCAGGGAGGCATGATAGATGAAAATATGGGATGTGAAATTAGGAAGGGTTGGGTTCAGGCTCCTTCCAGTTCTCCAGTCCTTTCAACATAGTCCAAGCATAGAAGGGGAGAATAAAAATATTAGTAGAATAAGAGAATAAGAATATTAATAGAAGGGGTTAAAGTGGTTAAATGTTCTAATTTTGTAAACTGATTTCTTTCCTTCCTTCTTTTCTTCTTTCCTTCCTTCCTTCCTTTTTTGAAGGCAACTAGGGTTAAGTGACTTGCCCAGGGTCACACAGCTAGTAAGTGTCTGAGGCTGGATTAGAATTCAAGTCCTCTTGATTATGGGGCCGGTGCTCTATCTGCTCTAACATCTAGAGGCCCCAGTAAACTGACATTACTTTTTCAATTGTTTTGCCTTTTTATTTAAAATTCATTTCCAAATACATTCCCATTTCCTTCTCTTACAAGAATAATTTTAAAAAGAAGGGAACAAAAGGTTTAGCAAAGCCAAACAATACATTGGCATTATCTGAATGTGTGTGGGTCTCCATCCTCGGCTCCCCCCCCCATCTCTACAATAAAGGCTGATGCTTTTTCTCCACCGTGGAGGTGAGGGATGGGGACAAGCCTAGTCATTATAATAGTTAATTGCAATAAATTTGCTTTTATTCTCCCATTTATGTTGTTAAAGTTGTGCCTGGTGGTTGTTGTTTCGGCTTATCTTACTTGAAAGATAATAACAACAGTTAGTATTTATAAAGCACTTTGAGGTTTGAAAAACTCTGTCCAAACATCATCTCATTTGACCCTCACAACAACCCTGGAAGGTAGGTGCTACCATTATCCCCACTTTGCAAATGAGGAAACTGAGGTAGACAGATTAAGTGACCTGCCCAGGGTTACACAGCTAGTAAGTGTTTGAGGCAGCATTGGAACTTGGGTCTCTCTCACTCCGAGTACAGCCCCTCTTATGCGCTGTGACCCCTAGCTGCATGGACACAAATAAGCAGTCTGCCCAAATGGTGAGGGTGGAAAATAAATAACAGGTAAGTCAGACCTCTTTATGGACATGACCCAGAGTAGGAGTAGTAACAGTATGAAGGTGTGTGTGTGTGTGTGTGTATATATATATATATAGGTGTATAAGACAGTGTATATGTGTGTGTATAGAAAAGTGTGTATATAGCTATGTGTATATTGTTTTATACATATGTGTATGCACATATACATATGATACACACGTGTGTATCATGTGTGTACACATGCACACACTAAAAATAGTGTACTATCACTAAATATGTAATATTCGATGTTAAATATTACATATTTATCTTAATGTTTAATTAATATGATATATAATAAATGTGTGTTATCATTATTTTCACTACTACTACTACTACTACTACTGTGCTTGTTACAAAGCCCTCCTCCTCCCAGAAAGCAAAGTCGTACCGCCTTTGATTTTTGTCTCCCCTGTGTGTTCATTCATCAGTGCGTGACAACGTATCATTATCAAGTGACACCAACCACGTTTTCCCTTCTTGCTGTTGTAGCCCCTGGCAGTTCACCTGAATGGGAAGCAGTGCAGTCGAAGGCCAGGCACCTGCTGATGAACACTTTTGGGGTCTACAAATGCTCCGTTCAGCTTCAGAGTTACAGGCGAGAAGCGAGCAAAACCTGCGGAGCTTGTCACGGTGCCAGTGCCTAACACCGAGCTTGGGGAACGACAGCCTTATTTATCGTGCAGACACCAGCGAGCAGCAATAAGGGACCGTATGAATGAGCTACTGGGATCCCCGACAGCTCAGCCCGCATCAAGAAGGAACACGGTCCGCGAGGACTCCATTGTAGGTCCTCCGAAGAGCCTTGCCAGCATGTAGCCTGGGAGAAGTCAACATTAAATGACCGTTCTACTATGATTTTCAGACAGGGATGTTACCATAATATTGTTTACAGAATGGGGTGTGACTCTGCAGATACTTCGTAGACAAAGCTTAAAGATTCCAGTCCTTTGTTAATTGTATCGCGTAATGTAATGCATCAGCTTTCAAGGAAGAACCCAGAATTCAGTACTTGCATTTTTTTTTAAAAAAAGAAACATTTAAAAGCCAAATTACTTTGAGCATCAAAAAAGGTTAAAGCACTAAATTTTTAAAACTATGTTGGCTCAGTGGGATGAACTGGGGTCATTTAAAAAAAATTCTCAAGGTTTTAGGAAGTTCTGGAAAATATCAAGAAATAGAAGCAAATGCATATTCCCAAGTGTTTCATAAATGTTTTCCTTTATAAATAATTCAGGATGTCATTGGTCTGTTTCTGCCTTATAACTTTATTTTTTCCAGATGTTAGAAACAGGGCTTTGAATCTCAAGGCATAATATGTTTTAATTATTTGTCTTCTTCCAAGGCAGAGCCAAACACACTTTAACATGATTTGTTGATTGTTGTCATGAAAATCATTTAGTAAATATTTCCAGTGTTATTCTACATTAGGGAAAATATAGTTTTAAACTATGATCATTTAATTTGAAATAAGGCACAGGAGGATGGTGCCAGAACCTATACTAACTAAACTGTTTGTTAGTAGGTGAGTTAAATTTGGCTGAAGAAAAGCTGAACCAGTATTTCACTGCTCCTTTTAGACCTTTTCATTCTGTATATCCCGTTTGTTTGGCTCCTACCTTTTGGAGTACCTACTTACATGAAGTAAGTATATAACCTGTCTAATGGCCCTTTCAAAATAAAACTCTGTGAGGCTCAGCTTTTGCACACTTACTCTTCCCACCTACACAGATTAATAACCACATTCTCCCAGAATTTGGGTCTACCTTTGTAATATAGGCCAATATATTAAAAAAAAAATCAGGGATTCTCCATGGTATATTGGTGCCTCCAAGCTGTGTTTTGGTACTGCCGCAGAAAAAATGCCAAAATGAGCACTGTGGGAAAAATAACTTTGTGAAGATCACAGCCAAGTTGCATGTTTTTAGAAGCACTCAGGTGATAGTTGTTAGCCTAGAGTCAGGAAAAAGGAAAACATTGAAGAGCATGAAACCGAAGGCAAGTCTGATTATGGCTTGGGGACTGTGCAGTTTAAGCAAAAATTGAAGGTGAAGGTTATTGTTTGTTCAGAATTCACAAGGTGTGTTGGCTCATCTGTGACACATGTTGAGAATTGGGTCAGGGAGGCAATCACAGATGACCAAGCTTCTAGCTACTGGAAGCAAATAGAAAAGGAAATAAGCATTTATTCAGCACCTGCTATGTTCTAGGTACTGGGCTAAGCACCTGGCCTTATGAGAACCTACATTACCAATCCAGTTTCGTTTGGGACAAGTACTATACTTCCAGAGTACCAGGTTCTAAGGTAATCAGCTCTTAGTGAAATTAGATCTCAACTCCTGGCCAATAGAGATTGCTTCTAGGAACAAAGATTAGAAAAGTTGTATCTTAACTAGATACTTTAAACAAACTGCAAATTCCAAAATATGGTTTAGGGGCAGATGATTTCAGAATATGAGGCCTGTCAATAGAAATTAACTATATATTTATATATTAAACTGTACAAATTGGGGGTATTCCTGCATATGGAAGGCAGATAGTGGTAACCAGAGAGTATTTGAATAAAGAGTTGCACACTTGGGAGCTATGTGTACCATGCTGCATGGCATTTCTACCTGCATTGAGTGACTTTTTTTTGATAAAATGTGGTGGCATCCCCCTGTCCCACCTATGTTGCTTATAATGCTTAATCTTAGTCTTCCTTTTAACTTCCTTAGGAGTATCTGGCTTTTCATAGTAGATTTGCTCTTGAAAGAGGTGGGTATAAGGACTTACAAAATACATTGAGGGGTCTTGCTATATAAAAGAATCCTATTGTGAATTTTTTGTAAAATTGGAAATCACCTACTTTGTTTTGTAAATCTGAACCTTGATACTGCCCAAATCAGAGCACACTTAAATTCTTCTGTAACCCTTTTTTTGCATACAAGGACAGTGCATTTTATTATTCATATCATAGGGTGGTGACTTTCTGTAACATAAGAAAGTAAATTTATGACTGTGAGGGATGCAACGCCAGCCCACATCAGATAGAATGTTGGGGAATTTATTTGAATAGGGCAATGTCGGATATAACCTCCTAAGCCAAATAATGTGCAGTTCAGATTGGCCTTGCAATACAGTGGCTCAGTTGGATCCACACAGTGTTGAGAAGATTGCCTTAGGTGTAACTTTGATCTAATTTATTGCATATCCTGGGGTTTGGAACTGTCTTTGAACATAGTTTTTGTAGTTCAGAACAGGCCTAATGTTTTGAGTAAGGTATTTCTTGTTTCACTGATGATGCTTTTTACTTATATGTAAGATGGAGGTGTGTCTGAAGTATAGTGGGGTGTGTTTCTGAGGGCTTTGAAGGACAGGGCTGCTGTAATTTCTGAAAGTGTTCCTATGACTATCATGCTATAGTCATCATTTTTATGTAAAACTCCATGTTATTTTTGAAGAACTACATATAGTATTGTTTCTTTGCCACGTCACTGAATTGCCTTTTCCATTCTTTTCACTTTTCTTTGGATCTTTGGACCATTTTCAGAAGGACAGTTTTCTAGAATCACTTTTTTGCTTCTCAACATTGACTTTCCTGCAGGGCTCTTGCCTGGCCCCTTCAAGCCCCTCAAGTCTAAAGTCTTCCAGGGTGTTGTTTTTTGTTTTTTTTTGAACAATAGACTTAGACATAGTCCAAGCCATTTCTGAGACACTGGAAATTGAGAGAAGAGATTTCCTCACCATTAATGTCTTTCACAGCCTTAACACCACTATTAGAAATGTATTTCTGGGTTAGGTGGAAATCTGTCCCAGTATTTCCAACCCACATTACCTGTGAGTAGTGCACTTCCTCAGTAGTGTAGGTGTAGTTGACATTGACAGATAGTGGAGTTTCCTTCAGTGTATGATGAATTATTTTTAGAAAACAAACAACCAATGTATGTTTATTTGGAAGACAGAACTGGTTCACTATTAAATTCAGTTATGAATATATGTGTGTGTGTGTATGTATATATATATATGTATATATATATATATATAATTTTTCAAACTCCCAATCACCCCAATATTTATTGGTGGTTCTTAATTAATGAGAGGCAACATGGTTTCTAAGGCCAGCAGGCTGGCCTTAGAACCTAGAAAGTCCTCATTCTGACATAGTCTAGTGACATGACTATAGGCCAATCACTTAAACTTTCACTGCCCCCAGGCAGCTCTCTAAAACTCTAAATTACCACTGAGTTACATAAATGGAAGGCGTTTGCCATGACAGGAGCTCTCTAGTCTGATAAAATAGTGGGTATGAGTCAAAAAATTACTGTGGAGAAAGTACTTCCTAAAAAGTTTGGAACCCTTGATGTGTTGTAGACAATTAAAATGTTGAACTCAAACTTATTTCCGACTTGCAGGACAATCAGACCAAGGGGTGAATGCCAGTTATTAGCTGTTTAATTGCACTTGACTGCCAGGAGAACCAAATGAGCATCAGTCATAACTGGACAGAGGCACCTCCTCAGATGCTATATAGATAGCTGTGGGCTTTATCGTGGGGCCTTGTTTTTTTATATCTTTTTTTTTTTTTAATGGGGCAGTAGGGTTAAGTGACTTGCCCAGGATCACACAGCTAGTGAGTGTTATGTGTCTGAGGCTGGGTTTGAACTCAGGTCCTCCTGACTCCAAGGCCAGAGCTGTATCTACTGCGCCACCTAGCTGCCCCAGGGCGTTGTTTTTTGATTAAGTTGTTCGCAGAAAGGAGTGAAGTCTGTGGTTTTCAAATTATGTATTCAGCCCACTGTATCTAGACAAAATACACCTCATTCCTATTGCAGGCCTGCCTCGTGACTCCAGTCGGTCATTGCTTCCAATCTCTTACAGATTCCATTCTGTAAATATTTGCTGGTCTTTTCAAGAACTTGATATGGGAGCTAGAGAAAGGGTTATGGGGATCTCTTTGTTTGAGGTCCTGCATCTAAGGAACATGCAGGCCCTCAACCTAGCCAGTCTGAATTAGATGGCTTTATCAAGCCAGATTTTCCACATACTGTTGCAGATGTACAATTTAAGACCAATAGATCTTTGACAAGATTGGTAATTATTCGAGAGAATTTCTCAGTTTCTGTGATCGTGTTAAGTTAGAATAGTTTAGTACATTTTGAATTTATTACAACACAAAATTAGAATGTTTGTGTGAGGACCTTAACAGGCAAGAGAGGTATAATGGCTTTGGGGAGCTTAGGCTTCGTTTTAAAAGCATATCATTAAAATAAGCCATATCACAGTTTGATGGAACTGTGTTTATACTTTTCCATAGACCCTTTCAGAAACTGGATATTTTGCACAATAATCAGTTATAGAAGGATTTATTTGACACAGGGGTTTGTCCATGTAATTGGAGATCAAAGTATGGTATATATTTACTGTATTTGAAATTTTTAAACTGTAATTTCCTAAACATTTATTAAAATAAAACACATGGCAAAACAACTTTTACTTTATTAAACAGATCCTACAATCTCTTATAAAAAACTAGAATTCGCTTGTCTTTATTCATTATACGTTCTCATTAACTTTAGACTCAATCATTTATTGGCAACCTTAAGGCATATTTTTTTTCTTTTCTTTCTTTTTTTTTTAAATCCAATAACAGAATAAAGCATCTTCAGTAACCGCTATATACTTCCATGCCTTTGTAGGCATTTAGGAAGTATGAGGTAGAAGGCTGGCCCAGTTTAGCTCTAATTCCAAGAGATCCCTGATTATGGATTTTATAGCATAGGAATTATTTATTCCTCTATGGATCCAGAAACCCAGGGGCATAAGGAAGTGAGGGTAAAGTAGGATGTTCCCTTCCTGGCAGGTGGGCTCTAACCATTTCAAGCACATGTATGAAGCAAGTGCCAAAAGAGCATATTTTGGACACATTTAAATATTAAGACTGCCTAAGTCTGAGGGACAACTCTATCACTTTCCCTGCACTTGGAGTGAGATAGAAATATGATTTGAAGCTTTGTTACAAATGTTGCCTTACTGTTTATCAAAGGTCTTTTAGCTAAGGGATTATGTTGAATATTCATACCGAATAGCTTGATTACTTTGAAATAATTGTGAGCCATATATGCATTTTTCTAAAGGCATAATGTTTATATTGTATGGCTTTCTGAGGAGGAAAACATGCTTATTTTGATTTTTAGTAAATGTTGCTTTCCTTCTCTGACTTTTTAAATATGGCAAAAAGAAATGAGTCCTTTAAATAGGCTAAACCACAACAAAGTGACCCTTTATACAGTTGTTTTTGGAGCAGATTCAGTTCTAATAAACAGGGAATCATGTTGGATTTTTTTTTTTTAAAGGCTGTGAGCCTGTTTTTCATCTTGGGTAACATGACTTTTGTTATTTCCATGGATACCTAAGATAAGCATCTTTCTTTGATACTATCTCTGTGTGAAGACTTCTTACCATGTGTGTACTTAACACATTCTTAACCAAGACAGTGCCTTTGATTCTGGGTCTCTACAGCTTATCAGTATGCACTTTCAGACTAACACCAGATTCCAATTTGGGGCTTTATTCTTGTGTTACTGCTTTTTTCTAAAGTTCAGCTAGAGTTTAATAGGCCTGTATGGTTTCCAAGAGTTTTCTTTCCCCTGTCCTATAACTGGAATTACCACAGCCGTTTATTATACCTTTTAATTGCCTGCTGCAATGATATCAAAAGACTAAAACATAGAAGTGGGAGGCCTGAATTTTTCCATTCTTTTATACTCTTCCCATATCTATAGAGGGGTTGGGCAAAGTAATGAGGTTGTCTAGTTGCTACATTTATAATTTTGACATTTCAACAAGGTTGTCCACGCTCGAGTTTATCCATTTGCTAATTGGATTTCTTCCTTGTCATTTTGTCCTTTTCCAACTAAATTAATTCCTTTTTAAGGAAAATTCAAGGCATTGTCCCATAACATCAAGGCTGAATCACTTCAGTAAATAATATTCTTGAGCGTTAGAGCTGGAAAGGGACTTTGTGCAACTATCAAATTATTGGGGCATGAGGTCAGTTTGAGGTACTACCTCTTGCCCAGGAAATCACAGCATCTCACAGTTGGGAGAGATCTTCCCAACTATATTTCACCAGCCAAGGCCCAAGTAAGCCTTAGGTAGTGACAGATGGCCCCAGTTGCCCAATTGCTAGTGACACCACTCCTTCACTGATAACTGTGATGGAGGGTGACAACCACATCTTACCTAAGACTAGAAGCCTCCTTTACAACACAGTTCTCCTGATTCGGTTACCCTCTTGACTATTATGCTAGCAATTAGATGGTTCTTCAGCCCTAAGGCTAGCAAATTCCTATCTGCTGCTGCCTAGATCTCTGTGATTGAGAGTCATCAAAAAGGGGGAATAATCCTCCTTTTCCAAGTTTTCTCCCTGAACTGTTCCCTCACCCATTATCATCCCTATCTTCCTGCCCTCCTCTTCCACTGTTCCCTCAATCCTTGAGTTATCATTAATCAATTCCTCTTTATCCTAACTATCTTCCTCTTATCTTTCCATCTTTCACTCAAGGGGAAATCCAGATTTTTGAGCAAGATGTTAGCTTCAGTCAGCCTTTCTGGAGCTCTCTTACGTCTTCTCTCTCTTTGCACACCAAGGGCATAAGGAGTCTGCCTTCTCTTTGTTCCTCATTACCACTTTAGGATCTTAAATCTAGAGCTGAAAGAAAGTTCAAGGTCATGTAACTCTCTCATTTTGCAAGGACAAATGAGGCCTAAGAAGTTTGTGATTTGCCTAAGGTCATAAAGGTAGAACGGGGATTTGAACCCAGTTCCTTTGTTTCCAGAGTCAGGATTCTTTCCGCTGCCCTATGCTACTCCCAGAATGACCTTCTGCCTCCATCACCCAGCAGCCTCCTCTGTGAGGTTTGCTGCGTCCTGTGCAGATCCTTAGGGCTGGCATCTACCAGTCTCCAGGTCTCTCAGCCTCCTTTCTTAAGAAGTTCAATACTTTCTTTACAGTCTTCTTTATCCCAACCCCTGCCATCTCACGTGGAGTCTTCAATATTAATGTTGGTGTCCCTCAAACACCCTAGTCTCCTAGTTGACTGACCCCTCAACTCCTGTGACATAGCTCCATTCTGCCTCCCATAGAGATGGTTACACAGAACTCACCATAACTTCCACCTTTGTGACCTTAAACTAAGATTGATGACTGATTACAATGTCCATTTATTTAATCTCTCCCTCCATCTCACTCCTCTTGATCCTATTTCTGCATCTGTGCAGTAACCTCCTGTTCCTCCATCTCTCCCTATTCTCCCAATCTATCACCCCTGATCTGACCTGGCTTTCCTCTTTTCATAGACATGACTCTATAATTAACCAATTAAACTATGTACTATATCTTTCATCCTCTAATTACTTAACATTCTTGCCCTGCCAGCCTTCAGCCTTGGGTCAATCTCACCTTTCACTTTTTCTGCTCTGGCTGCACAGTTGCTGAATGTTGCTGTAGGAAATTATTAAAACCATGCTGACTAGGTCTTCTACAAATTCACGTTATCTCCACTTTATTCAATCCTTTTATTCTTCCCTATTTGATTATTATGGTCCCCACATCGGTGGGGCCAAACCTCCCTTCTCAACCCACCAAAGACAATCACATGTTTCAGCAGATGACCTTGCCTCCTACTTTACTGAAAACATAATAAACCCTCCATTGGGTTATCTTCCTCATTCCACATTTCATAATCGCTCCGTATCTTCCTCTGTCCTCTCCTTCTTTGCTCCAGTCTCTGAGGAAGAGGTCTCCTTGCCAAAGCTAAGTCCTCTCCTTGTGTCTCTGATACCTGTGCCCCCCATCCTTTCTGGGAGCTTGCCACATCAAACACTTCTCATCTTCCCTTTCTTTGCCGACTAATTCCTTCCTGTTATATTGCAACGTAAATGCAATACAAACTTGCTAGGATCTCTCCCTTCCTTAAAATAATTTTTTTTACTTGATTCTGACATCCCATCAAGCTATTGTCCTAGATTTTCTCTTTCCTTTCATTGTTAAACCTCTAAAAAGTCACTTGAATCCTTGAAATCTGAGTTCCAAGATCACCACTCTCCTGAAACTGTTCCTTCAAAAGTTGTCATTGATTCTTTATGTATGAACCACATATCCCAATACTCCTTGCATCTTTTGACACTATTGACCTCTCTCCTCTCTTCCTGGATACTCTTTTCCCCCTTGGCTTCTAGATCTCTCTTAGTTTTCTTCCCACCTCTCCAATCATTCCTTCTCAGTCTCCTTTGCTGGATCATCATTTATCTCCTAACTTACAATAAATTTGTTGTACAAGTTATCCCTTCCACATCATGACTTTCCCCATTGAGGTGTCAATATATCATGAGTTCATAAGAAATTAAATGAGAATGTTTTGGGAGTTTTGTGGGAGCCACAGATGACACATAAAGGCCAGCATTCAATAGAGAAAAAGTTTAGAAACTCAGAAATGCATAAAATATACATACAGTATTATATGATATCAACAAATTTTATCTTTTAATACCATTATCATTCACTTATTCTCTGGTATGAAG